CCTCGTTTTCTGTTGAGAAAACTGCGACGTTTGTTTTTATGTCACGTTTCACCCGTGTACACACATACGGCTTCACACCCATACTACATATATATATACATATATATATATATATATATATATATATATATATATATATATATATATATATATATATATATATATATATATTATATTATATATATTATATATATATATATATATATTATATATATATACATATATATATATACATATATATATCTATATATATTATATATATATATAAATATATACGTATATATATATATATATATATATATATATATATACATACATATATATTATACATACATATATATTATATATATGTATATATATATATATATTATACATACATATATATGCATATTACATACATATGTTATATAATATATATATATATATATATATATATATATGTATTATACATATGTATATATATACATACATATACATATATCTATATATGTATGCAATTATATATATACATATATGCAATATAGTATATATATAAATATATATATACACATATACATATTAACACACACACACACACACACACACACACACACACACACACACACACACACACATATTATATATATATATATATATATATATATATATATATTATATATGTATATTATATATATATATATACATATATATACACATAGACAGTATATGAACCTATATATGTGTGTGTGCGAATATATATATATAATATACATATATGAATACATATATATGTGTGTGTTTGTGTCCGTGTGTATATATACACACATATATGTGTATATCTTATATATATCATATATATATTATACATATATATTCATATGTATATATAATATGCTTCAAAGAGCAAATGCAACACAGAAGCACACACTGAACTCAAACTTTGCTTTCCCGTAGACTCAGTCACCCGACCTATCACTTCCGGTAGAATAAGTTACCTCACACGCAGCTGCAGAAGGACAAGTCACAGAGCTCCGCAAAGACCCACGTCCTGGACACGACTGACACGACAAAGCCTTTTCGACACCGACTCCCTTGATGCTTCGATCTCGTGGATCCGAATCCTTTGTTCGAAACGTGTCGAGAGTCTCACATTTTCAATATTTATGATACAAATGTTATAATCTTTCTGTTTGTGTTTCTAATATTATCTTTATAACTCTTGTTTTTACCATTCATATTAATTTCTTTCTTTTTTTCATTTTAATCTCATATTTTTCTGTTTTAGATTATTTAGTTATTTTTTGCTAATCTTCTTTCATGTTTCGGATGTAAAACTTTCCCGCGTAATCTTTTTGACTTCATGATTAACGTAATCTTTTTAAATCTGTTTTTTTCTAATATATTTTTGATGATAATCTTCTCTAATTTTTCTCATTTAAATATTTTTCTCGTATTACTCAACATAAGTTACCAACATATGATAAGCACATTACCCTGATCTTATAAATAAACACGTAAATAAATATAGAAGAATAGGTTAAGTAGTGAATACGTAAAAGATGAATGAATGAATAAATATATAAGTAAATGGATAAATAAATAGATAAATGAATAAATGATTAGATAGGTAACTTAATGAATTGATAAACAACAGAATGAAGAAATAAACAAAAAACAAACAACAACAAATCGTACTGCACACCTCTGCCTTCACCCCCCCCCCTGCCTATCCCCCACACCCCTCCGACAAAAGCACGAGGAGGGGGGGAGGGGGGGTCTCCTTAACGTATTGATATCCCATCATTACATATCAATAAGAGTCATGAAGGGGGGGGGGAGTCACCCTTCACGCGAGCCTCACGCACAAGCACAACACCGTGCTAAGTGGGGTGCCGATCTTGCTTGTGTTATTGTTCTTCTTTCTTCTTTTATAGGGTTTTAGATTGTGTTATTGTTAATTGGCTGGCTTGCTTGTGCTTGCTTGTGTTATTGTTTTCTTCTTCTTTTATAGGGTTTTAGATTGTGTTTTGTTAACTATGCCTTGCTTGTGTTATTGTTCTTCTTTCTTCTTTTAGGGTTTTAGATTGTGTTATTGTTAAAGGTGGGGTTTGGCTGCCTTGCTTGTGTTATTGTTCTTTTTTCTTTTATAGGGTTTTAGATTGTGTTATTGTTAACGTTGGTGGTCGAGTGGTTGCCTTGCTTGTGTTATTGTTCTTCTTTCTTCTTTTATAGGGTTTTAGATTGTGTTATTGTTAAGGGTAGGGGGTCGATTGTCTACTTTCCTTGTGTTATTGATAGCGATGAGGGTCGATATATATACGAATATATGTGTAATTGTTTGCTTGTATTATTGTTAGCGATGGGGTCGACTGGCTATTATAGTGGTATGACTGAGGACTTGCTTGGGTGGTCCTGGGACGTGAAATTTGGGAATAAGTTGGATTTGCATGTAATTTTGATTTACTAATTAGTGAACCGTATCCATGTTGACAAATGTAGAAAAGGTATGAATGAGAATGGATATCTTCACAATACAAGAAATGTATTTGACACATATATATGATGTATTTCTGACGAAGACATAATCGAAACTGGTCAAATACATTTCTTGTATTATGAAGATATCCAGTCTCATTCATACCTTTTCTACAATTACTAATGAGTGTAAATTTACTAATGGTTGTAATTTGCTAATGATTGCAATATCATGATAGCTGCAATGTACTAATAGCTTACTTATACCTCCTTATTCAGCAATATCCGTAATTTAGAAATGACTATAATGTATTGTAACTATAATTTGTCAATAACTTCAATTTACTAATAGCTATAGTTAACTAAAACTGTAATTTACTGAAAGCAGTGATTTACTAATAACTTCAATTTTCTAATAACGATAGCTTACTGATAACTGTTATTGATTGATAACTGTAAACAACTTATTACTAACTTACGAATAACAAATACCCCCCCCCAAAAAAAAAAAAAAAAAAAAAAAAAAAAAAAAAAAACAGACATTCACTAACACTTCCGCCTCTCCTTTTATAACTAACAGACTAACTACCCTCACCTACTGATAGTAACTGTACCCACTGGCCTAAAATACGAGATTCCCTAAGAGTCTTAAAAAGGTGTGTCATCATAATCTAATGACCATAAGCCCATTAACTTTCAACAGCAGTGCAGTTTCCTATATGAGATTATGCTAATGACAGAAGATTAACTTTTTTTTGCAAAACAATGACGCCGGGAAGGAAAGACGCGTGAAAAATATTCGCTGATAATGAATGGAATATGTATATGGATTTATATATGTATGTGTATGTATATGGATATGTTTGTATAAGTATGTATGTATATAGATATATTTATTCATATATGCATATACATATGTACACACACACACACACACGTACGCACACATATGTGTGTGTGTGTGTATACATACATACATACGCACACACACACATATATATACATATACATACATATTTATGATATAATATAATATATATATATATATATATATATATATATATATATGTATGTATGTATGTATATATACATACATACATACATTAATATATATGTAATATATATAAGTATGGTATGTATGTGTATGTGTGTGTGTAAATAGATAGACAGCTATATAGATATAGATGCATACGTGTGAGAAAGAGAGAGAGGCAGACAGACAGACAGCAAGAGATAGAGAGAGAGAGAGAGAGAAATCAAGAGATAGAGAGAGAGCAGATAGACAGAAGCAAGCAGACAGACAGACAAAAACGTCGAATAAAAGATCATGTTTCATCACAAGATTCTATTTTGCTTCAGCTTTGCCAATTTAACCAGATTATCATTATTGTTTTTTATTTATCCATTTATTCAGTTGTGCTTCTCTGCGTCGACTGATTATCAAAAGGTATTTCCTTAAGTATATATTTTCGTCTTTTGTAGTATCTACTCAACAATTAATATTTTCTTTATCCATTTTTCGTATTTTTCTGTTAATGATATGTCATTTTCCTTTATTGTTACAGTCTCATCTACGTGTGCTTTGAAAATAAGGAATTGTTTTGTTGTTTTTCCTCGAAATAAGATTAGTTTTATTTTCTCCAATATATCGTAGTTTACGGTCTATTTCTCATTTTCTTTGATGAAAAATTTTATCCCTAACTATTTTAAGTTAGAAATACAGTACTACAATAAGAAATACAGTACTAAAATATATTCTGTTGTGGGACAAATTAACTCAACATTGGATAATTTATACATAACTTGTTTTTTTATATACTTAGTGATGAACTACCTCAGAAAAGTAAGATAATGTAAACCAATTAGGGAGTAATATTTCTTGTGATCGAAACTTGTTATTTTATGATTGCATGCATGTGTATGTGAAAGAGTCTGTGAATGTGTTTGTGTGTGTTGGTGTGTGGTGTGCTTCCGTTTCTTATTTTCTTTGTTTTTCTGCTTGTTCTTTTTTCTTTCTTTTGCTTTTCCTTCTTTATCGCCGTCATTTCTTTCTTTCTTTCTTTTACTTTTTATCTTCATTTATGAATATCATCGTCCTACCTATTATCATTGATACTATTATCATTACTATGTTGTTATCATTATTATCATTATATTTATCATTATTATCATTTTATCATTATCATTATCATCATCGCCATTTTATATCATTATCATATCATCATCATTATTATCATCATCATATCATCATTATCATAATCATCATTATTATTATCATAATCATCATTATTATTATCATCATTCCTCTTTTTCTTCTTTTCCTCCTGTCCCTTTTACATATACGTCGTGTGTGTGTGTGTGTGTGTGTGTGTGTGTGTGTGTGTGTGTGTGTGTGTGTGTGTGTGTGTGTGTGTGTGTGTGTGTGTGTGTGTGTGTGTGTGTGTGTGTGTGTGTTTGTATATCATATAAATAGCCCAATAACTTCCACACTTCAAAATATTGAGAGCATAAGGATATAAGTAAAAGAAATTAGAACATATCTCTTTTAATTCATTCAATATAGAATCCGAAATAACCTGGAACATTTTACACAACTTTTATATCTTTTTCATCATAGTTAGAAGGCAAGATCTACACAAAGGAGAAAAAAACTCACCTTTCTGAATAAATTTAAGTTTCAATCGCTATTTAATCCTATTTACTCCGCAAGTTATGAACAGGTTATAACTTTCACAACATGTTAAGGTCAGTTCGGATTCCTCTTGTATTCTTAGGCACTTGTTACAGGTAATTAATATCACAGTACATCCAGTAGTCAGGTCAGCTCAGGTCAGTATTTTGTTATATTATTTCTCTAATTCTTACCCACACACCTACAATCATACGATAAGAACAATATCGTAGACTGAAGTGAATTATTTTCATGTCAGTCCTTATAGAGTCACTCCCGTAGAATCTCATAGTGTGTTTAAGTAATCTTTTTTTTAATACCTGAAGATTGACAGGGAATAACAACAGATTATGAGAACAACCGACAGTACCATATCATAATGTACTCACTCATAGTGCTAAACACGTATTATATATGTAGCAAGTCTAATACTCTCTCACTTGCATGTTATGTGCACTGTATTTTGTACAATAGTCATATTACTTTTTTTTTCCCCCTCCCCCTACACTAGCCTGAATATCTACATAGAGAAAAATAAGATATATATTGAAACTGTACATAATTCTATTCCAACTAAGGCATTAATGCTTGTATGTAAGAAAGAAACAGTGTGATATTATTGTCATTGTTTTTCACGGCAATATTTTTGCAATTCTGTCAGACTTATACATGCTAATATGTACAGCAAACATTATTTGATCAAACATGTGTGGACTATAACACTGATATATACTTGTTCTGTAAGTGTATGGCTGCAAATTTAATTTTTATAGCTATTTTTGCCATTTCCTCTGATCAAAATACTTACACCTAACGTAATACTTACATATAAAATAAATTCCACAGGATATCAATGTAAACCAAAGAAAACTTTTTTTTACGAAGGGGAGACTAAAGAATAACACACACGGAACTGTTAGACTGGCTGCTGTACGGTCTGTCATAGTCGTTGTCAGGCTCGGCTGTGGAAGGAGATTGGAAGCGTGAAAGTGAAGGGAAGAAAAGCGTTAAGGGAAGGAAGCCAAGATTAATGGATTTAAGGGATTATGAGATGAGATGATGACTTTTATTTCAGCTGTTGTAGTTCTTTTTAGTTATACAACGAAAAGGATGAAAGCAAATTAAAATGCTGGAATAAAAGCTTTAGTTCATAGAGACTATAAATGTGTGTGCGTCTAAGCATCTACTATATACATACATACATACACACGTACATATCTATGAATATACGCATGAATGTATGTGTATATATCCTTACATACATGTGTGTGTTAATACGGGAATACATTCTATTTTAGGAATCTAAACACGATGCATCACGTATCCTTTTACCATGCAATGTTGATCGTTTTCAAGATGCACAAGTAAAGGGTTTTCGGGTTGCCATGTCCAACCCATTGCAATTGCAGGTTCTGAGTGAATTCCTTAGCAAAAGTATTAATCCTGGGAGTGATTTCATAACGAGAATTAATTGAAGTTTCTTAATGGTTTCTCATTACGGGTTGTATGAAAATGTGGTGGAAAATGGTGTTGAATTTTGGGTGCGGTTTTGTGTGAGTTAGTAGCATGGATATTTTGCCAATAAGTGTTTGTTATGTAAGTACTGAATGCAGGATATTAGAGACATGCATCATTTTGCAAGAAGCTGATGCATCTTTTTTTTTTTCTTTTCAATTACTTTTTCTGGGGGGGATATTATATCAAAATTTGTCCGTCTAATATCCAAACATTGCTTTCATATTTTTGGGGGTGGTATTTAAAGAATCAAATGTTTGTTTGTTTGATCTGTTCCGTTCAACTGTTTTTTTTATGAATTGATAATAATTTTCGCAAATAAAACAAATGCACAGCGCTTACACTTTCAAGAAAAGGACGACGGGCTTAAAGTATTTTACATAAAAGCAAGGGTTAAATAT